ATATATATATATATATATATATTAAGAAGTTTATAGTATAAATTTTGTTAACTAGCACCCCTGTAGTCACGGGTGTTGTACACAAATGCAGACATGAGATTTAACCATAGATATTATATAATAATCCAGTACTCAACAATGAATAGGATATCCTGCGACTACAATTTTAACAAAAATACTCAACTTGACTTCACAACTAACTTCCAAGGTTTACACAAATGATCACTATTCCAAAATCGACACCACAAAACCTCCCAGAAAAATGCATTAGGGAGGAATTTTAAATTACTTTCCACCAGCATGCTTGGCTTTTGTGTGGGAATCAAGGCCTTACTCAGATGTAAATGTATCTGCAAGCAAAACCATCATCAACATCAGTTATTATTTCAGTTCCATTCTGTTATAAGTTGTAAGATTCTCGCAATAGCGTACACCAAAGGTTTAACTTTGTAGACAAAAACTACCAATTATCTTTTAAAATTACATGGAACATGTACATTAGAAACATACATGCATACATACTAAAGATGTCTTCAGAATTGGGCTCAATAATTGTAATTATTCATGAAAAATAACCGAAATGTGATTCCTGGATCCTGGATTCCGATCAAGTTAAGAAATATGAGACGAATGTGGTGATTACATTATATACACATCGTACATGCAGGCTTACGTGCCAACCAAAAAGGGCAACAAAAATTAACATTAACAAATGAATTATTGAGCTGAAACAATATTTCCAAACAAGTACCAAATACTATATGTTTTTATCCGATACGTTAAATAAAACTGCCATTAGTTTACATCACCAAGGGATATTCAAAACCAAAAACCAACAACTAAAAGAGGCCAAAAAAATAACAAAATTGGCCACACTATGCAAAAGCATCCTTACATACAAAACCACCTAAACAAAAACTAAGAAAACAGATCTAAAACAACAAATCCTCCAACAAACCAGATGCTCCTACAAAAACATCCAACAAAGACAAAAGAAAACAATACCACAATCATCCAACATCTAAAATCGTTTCTGGTTCTGGTCCCAGACATTTTAGGGATCCCAAAAATCATTTCTGATTCAAGGAATCATTGAAATATCCTTGAAATGATTCTTGAATCCCTAAAATAGTTTATGGGATCTAAGAAACGGTAGAAACATCTCAAAAACGGTTGTGAGTCATATAAACCATTTAAACAAATGCCACATAGATAAATGTCATTGGATTCGCAAAATTGAAGGATGTAATGATTTTACCCTCTCATATTTGTAGAAAAATACAATGTTGTTCGATTCGAAAAAAGAAACAAATGAATTACCGCATTCTGTGTAAAAAAGTTTATGGACAATTGAGAGAGAAAAAACTACCTTTGCTGAAATGATTATAATAAAATCGCGAGTCGCGGAGAAACTCGCGAGTCGCGGTGAAGAACAGAACACTCGGGCTTGGATAAGTTGAGCCAGCTTTGCACCCGTCCACCCTGATTACCAACTCCAATCCCATAGCATCATCATATTTAGTAATTTAAAATTTTGAAAATAGCATTTTGCCACCCGAACAATTCCAGATTTTCAATTAACTCCTTTAAATTTACGAAAATTGATGAAAAACCTTAGTATACCTGGCAAGTTGTTAGCATTAATAGACAAATCAACGGTGTCTGATAATTTCATTTTCCATGCATGAACTTCCAAAATCTCCAGTCTCACTTTTGCATTTGGAGGACGGATCCTTATCTAGATAGTACAAGAATGATGACTAAAACCATGTTGTTCTGAAAAGAATTTACGAGTAAACCGCGCAGGGGGATCAAACTTTCGAAAAACAGTACTCAGTTCAGGAGAACACACCTTGCGGTCAAACCAACCAGGTTGAAGGAGGGCAGGATCGAGCAAATCCTTTCTATTTGTGGCTCCCAAAAATATGACACCTTTGCCTGTATGAAACCCGTCTAGTTCTATTAAGAGCTAGTTCAATGTAGTCTACCTTTCTTGAGTTTTTGAATCATAAAGGTACTTTTCTGACTTACTGGTCATTCCCTGCCGCCTGATGTATATATCAACAAGAATCAGAATCATCAATTAACTACATGATATGTATAAATGACAGTGCTGGTTACAAAAAAAAAAAAAATCATCCTGAGAAACTGATGATCACTCTAGTATACTTAGTGTGCCTTGTGTATATTATTAGGCATGTGAAAATAGAAAAAATGCAGTGAGGAAGTTCTATCTTGGTAAACAAAGACATTTTTGTTGCAGTAGCTCTTTCAAACTCAGTCTAAGCAGGAAAAAACATGGTAAAAGGTTCAAGCATACCTTGTTCCCAGAGCATCAATTTCATCAATAAAAATGACTGATGGTTTATTTACCTGTACAAGAGCATACGATAAATTAATTGACCTTATATCTTTACCACCAAAAAAGTTCAAAAGTGAGTCCTTGTAAACATAGAAGAGTCATTTCAGCAGTAAAGACTGCATATAGTAATTTTTTTTTTTTTTTTTCCCATGCAGTTTGAGAGATCTTCAAATCTATTAATCTTGTCATGTAAAACATGACAGAAAAATCTATGAGTAGGAAGCTGTAAACAACTGTTGTGTTGGTAGACCAAACACAAATCAGGGCGAGTAACCAGTTGCCATGTGAAGCATAAAATATTCAAATACTTTCTGTACATACCAATGTAACTATGTTACATTTAAGATCTATCGGTGATTCGGAAAATAATGTTGTATATGTCAATATCAGATACCACAAAGTATTACAGAAAACAAAGAAACTTAACAGTCTTATTAGAATCCAATATTTCAGTTTGCAGTGAAACTCGATTTGGATCTTTTAAAATTAGGCCAAAAGAATTTATACACATATTCGAAAGTTGCTGTTTCGCGCAAAATAACAAATTTTATAATTGTCCACGCATATAACCAAGAAAGTGCCAGTTGTCAATTCAGGATGGAAAAACTAAAACAGTGAGGCCCATCATACTTACTCAATGTTAGACAAACTAACTAGAGCAACATATCAAAATAGAGAGATCACAAGTATGATGAACATATCATCCTTAACATTCCCAAACTTGTTTGGATTTAAATACTCACAAAAGAATACACAGGAATTGAAAAGGCCTTATGAGCAAAAAAAATAACAATATAACAGAAAATAGGAAAAACATAATGTTCTTAGAGGGACAAATTTCACGACCTCGTCCGAACAGCAAGACCAATAACAAAAGTTAACAATAACGTTCAACATAAATAACAGAGAAACAAGCACAAAACTACATGAGACAGAAATATTAGAGAACTGAATGAAAAGGCATAAACAAGGAAATTAAACACACATAAAAGAGAACAGGAGATAACTAACATCAGTAGTATTAGATAAGCAAAACAAACTATTCAAAGCATACAAACAATTTCCTTATTATAATTCCAAATGACCAATAGAAGAAACAAATAACATAGAATAGAAACATCAGTAACAATGACTAGGTAAGCTGAATAACATGTTCCAAAACAAACAAAAAAACAAAAAAAACCCTAATTCGAACATGAAGGGAATAATTGGAAACAAAAAAAAACCCTAATCTCAACCAAAAGGGAGGTCAGCAGTTGGATTACCTGATTTCAAATTTCGGACGGCGTTCGGTCGAGAGTCGTGAAGGGCAACTTTGATTTCAGATTCCGGCAAGGCCGACGGCGTTCGATCGAGGTAGTGAAGGGCGGCGTTCGGTCTAGGTCGTGAAAGGCGACTTGCGGTCGAGATCGTGAAGTCGTGAAGGGCGGCTTGCGGTCGAGATCGTGAAGTCGTGAAGGGCGACGTTCTTAGGGGATGAATTTGTTGGGACGAAATTTTTGAAGATGTTGAAGATGGTGGAGTTCGTGAGATTCAGAGCCAAAGCAGCGAGAGCGGGAAGATGAAAATCTGGAAATAAATTGAACTGGGGCAAAGAATAAGCTAAAATTGAATTAGGGGTAATATAGTAATGACACATGCCAAAATGGCTAAAAAAATGTTTTTTTCAAAAGGTGACCAAAATTTGTGTTTTCTAAACTTTTATGGCTATTTAATGGTATTTTTTTTCCAAAACGATAGAAATAACTATTAACTAAAAGCGAGCAAAGCTCGAATACAACCAATGTCCATAAAGAAATACAACATGAGAGGAACATCAACAAAGATGCCCTAGAGCCTCAACAAAAACAACTAAAAAATACGAAATAAAAGAGAAGAGCAAATCACCACCACTGCTACAAAGCCTAGTAAATAATCTGCTCTTGCGAAAGCACTAACACAAAACACCAAAACAAAGGAAACTAAGAGAACTAAGAAGAAGAAGAATTAGAAAGAAGAGATGAAAACTCCAACCAATCCGAGTGTGCTGCCTTAACCACAATCCGGGGTGGAGGAAGAGATCCTTAAAAAATCCATTGGTTTCTGGTCTTCCAGAGCCACCATAACAAATAGGTTGACAACTGGATTCTATGCTCATCAATTGGGAGACCCTGCCATGATACTGGTGCTAAGTCCCAAGTTCTGCTGGCTCTAGGGCAGTTCAATAACAGATGTTCAATAGTTTCAGGACTCTCACCACAACACCTGCAAATTACATCAATGTTCAATCCTCTCTTTTTAAGATTAGTCAAAACAGACAGAGAGCTTGTGAGACATTTCCACAAGAAAGTTCTGATCTTCATCTGCACCTTCAGTGACCAAGATCTTTTGAGAGTCAACTTTCAAGAGTTCACCCTGTTACTGCATTCTGGAATATCCAGTTGAAGAATTTTCTGTTGTACCAAGAAGGAATAAGTAGAAGCAACTAAAAGCTGGCCCTTAGGATCTAGGCCCCAGTAAATTATGTCAGGTCTGCCAGGCCTCAAAGTTTTTATCTTTAAAATAGCAGCACTATCTTCTTCATTAAAAACCTGATGTATTAGCCATTCATTCCAACCCAATCCAGAAGGTAACATCAAATCCTTCACAAAAATGAGATGATCCCTAGCAATCTCCAGCAGATCAGGTTTTTCTTTAGAAAGATTGGGAACCCAGTTACAGTCAGCAATTCTGGTAGAACTACCATCTCTAATCTCAGTCTTAAGCCATTTAACAAAAAAAGGAAGGACATCCATCCAACAGTTCCAGAGCCAAGAGCCAGTATGAGATTTAGAGGCTTGAAAAATAGAAGAGTTTGGAAAATACCTCTCTTTCAGGACCCTACTCACAAGCAAATCAGGTTGAGATATAATCCTCCAAAGCTGCTTACATATCAAAGCTTCATTAAACAGTTTAAAGTCCAAAAAACCCAAACCTCCATCATTTTTAGGGGTTGAAATTTTGGCCCAACTTTGCCAGTGAATGCCTTTAGATTCTTCTGAACTTGATTTCCACCAAAATTGGGCACATAAGTTGGCTAATGAGGAGCAGATGGAAACAGGTATTTTAAAGCAAGACATAGTAAAAATAGGAATTGCTTGCAGAACTGATTTCAGAAGGACAGCCCAGCTGCAGAGAGTAATTTTGCTTTCCAGTTTTGCAATTTATTTTTGAAGGATTCCACAAGATAGACAAATATCTCTTTTTTTTTGGACTTACCAATGCCCAGGGGTAGCCCCAAATACCTGGTAGATCTATGTGTTTGAATGCCTTGCAGTGCTGCACAGATACTTCCTTGAAGATAAACATGAGTATTCTGCAGAAAAAGATTGCAGATTTAACCAGATTCACAGATTGGCCAGTGAACAATCTATATCTATTCAACAGATCAAGAAGAATCCCAGCCTGGTCAACCCCAGCTTTACAGAAAAAGATTGAGTCATCTGCAAACAACAGATGTGATATAGATGGCCCAGACTGAGATAGTTTCAACCCCTTCAGAGTACCAGAGTTAGTAGCATCAATTATAAGGGCAGACAGCAATTCTGAGACTATGATGAACAGATAAGGGGAGAGTGGGTCCCCCTGTCTTATTCTTATGGAAGGAGAGACCAAGCCACAGATATCACCATTAACTTTAAAACATATAGAGGTGGTAGATATGCAAGCCATAATAAGTTTAACAAAATCAACATGAAATCCCATTTGAATCATGATCTTTTAATACTGACCACTCCAGTCTGTCAAAGGCTTTCATGATGTCAAGCTTCAAAGCCATAAAGTAGTTTTTTTCCAGAAGCATATCTGTTAAGAAAGTGAAAAGCTTCCTGGGCTATGATAACATTATCAAGCAGTTGTCTGCCCTGTAAAAATGCACATTGAAATCCACTAATGCACCCATCAAGACAAATCTTTAGCCTCTGAGCAAGAACTTTAGAAATAACTTTATAGACCACAGTGCAAAGGCTAATAGGTCTAAACTTACAGATGGTATCAAGAGCAGCACATGTAGGGTGATGGGTCTATTTCCAGATCTGGGGTGAACCGGTGGAAAATCACCCGGATCTGGAATGAACCGATGTGAACGAGCTCAGATCTGTCCTGATGGTCTCCAAATTGCTAACGAACCACAGGAACACCTGCAAGAACTCAACGCCGGAGGGATTCCCGGCATAGAGCCTCCGACGCTCAAGTCAGTATGTGAAAGAGACGAAGGGAGCTGCTCTGAGAGGGCAGCAGCAATGGTGAAAAGAATATGGAATGAATGGGAGTTAGGGTTTTGGGATTACCTCAGTCCTTTATATAGAAGCGCAACATTTACCTGAAGTCCCCAAAGTGCCCCGACCGACTTACGGGAAATGTCCAAAATACCCTGGTCGGTTCGTATTCTGCCTACTTCCTAGTCAGCATCTAGATCCTTCCTTAGCTTTCTTCTTATCCTTAACTTTCCCTCAATACGCTGAGGTGTATCAAAGCTGTCGAGAACTATGAACTGCAAGGTTCCTTCAGTCGACCTGAGATATCGACTCGAGTCGACTGGATCATATTTAATCACTAG